ATAGTGTTTCAGTGTGTATCCTAGAAAATTCAAGTCCTAGTAGTTTAGATGTTAAGGAGCACCGATATATACATGCCTTAAATTCCCTCCGCCCCTCAGGAATGAATAGTACAAACCCTTTTAAGATTCCTTTATTGCATAATTGATTTTTATTTTGCCTGAGGGGCTTTCCATAAATTATTTTTTAAATAATTGGTCCTTTTATTGATGTTTCATATTTCACGGCAGTTTCCTTTTCAGAGTTTGAGTTTATATTTAGAAACTAACCATACTATCTTTTAGATTTATGTCACTTATGATGGCTCCGGCTGAAAGTACTATGACTCATTTTATCTAGAAGATTGTAGTTTCATTGCTTCTGAAGTAGCTATCAGTTCGCCGGTCAATGTTGGGTATAATACTCTTATATCAAGATAATGCTGATTAGATCTTATGATGATAATTCTTTGAACACAGTTTTTACCACCTGGTTTCTGGTAGTTATAAAAAGGTTAAAATGAAAATGCAGCCGAAAGGTAAATATTAAATCGAATAAACAAACTATTTGATGAAGGGTGGAGGTTCCACCCTTGGAACTAGTAGAGTAGTAGATAGTTTCACAAAATCATGCTCAACCGTATCGATAATAATTTCTATTTAATAAGGCCCTCTCATCAGTCCTATGCTTTGCAAAGAACTTGCGAGTGCTTTCTGCGCCTGATTCTAGAGAGAAACACATGATTTAGTGCTTACAAATTGTAACCACTTTTATATAGTGTCACATACCATGCACAAAAAATTGTGTGCGTGACTAGCTCTGTAAGTGTTCAGACTAATGAAAATGAGTCTTTGGACTTGAATAAATTAGCTTCCTGAAAATTGTAAACTGTGAATATACAAGTAAGCATCAAAAAGATCTTTTATGTCGTGCTGTATTAGTGAAAACATGTTTGATTGAGGTTTTTCAAATTTAAGTATTAACAAATAACAATAGGAGCGAATAATGGGTTAAACCTCCACAAGAAACCAATAATCTGACGCATCTTTAGTAAAAAATAAAATGCAAGTAAGTATCTAATGCTTCATCAATACTAATAAACTTATAGCAAGCTTCGTTGACTATTTGGTTCACGTCGTTCTGCTCAAAGATCTTGTGTCTAAGGACCCTAGCTGTGTAACCCTAACCTTACTATAAAAGGGGCTCTAAAGTTCGTTGTTTTGATTGAACTATATTCGCAAAAAAAACCATTTAAATGAATTAAAAACTTCAAAGATTCACCTGATCCGCACTGATGGAATCCAAATAGAAGCACTGCACAATGCAAGAAACCTAAACACCCTTCCCTAACATTAACGAGAGGGGAGTGAGTGCTCACGAAACTGTGTGCACCTCGTCAAATACCTCCAAAGATGAGTTGAAATTGATTACTTGCCATTACTGTCAACGCGATCGAGATCATCTTGAGAACTTCCAATCTTCCCTAGTCAAGCGAAACTTCTATAGTCTCATACCATCATGTGTGGCAAGAACCAATCAAATAGATTTCAATGACTACTCACGTTAGGTGAATAAAGAACATTCGGTCTCTTTAACTGCAAGAACACGAGACGCCAATATAGTGACGCCAATTTATTAAACATGCGTTGAGGAACTATCATTTAATCATCTTATTGTTTTCAAAATAGTTACTTTCACTCCCTCCTGCAGCGATCCACGAAAAAAGAGCCATCACCACCCGGCAGTTAATAAAAGTCTCTATGAAATCACTTGGGAAAAACAGTGCTTAGCAGCGAAATAAAAATGAAGCTAAAACATCGAAGCTGCTTGATAGAATGTGTGGTGGAGATTAAAAACGCCGTTAAAATAATGCCTTTTTACATAAACAACAGCGATTACCGGTTCATATAGTCTTAGATCATTAATAGCAAAAGCACATGCACGCAGCCGTACCTAGAAAAATTTTATTGGTCATCAACGTCGTTTAGTTGCTATGGTAACATATCACATGACCACTGCGAAATGGTGAACTCATTTATATGATTGGTAGAATGGGCGATTGCTTAGTACTCAATACTCATGCCGCAAGGCCATGAAGCTCAGCCATGAATGGGCGAGGTGGAGAAAATCTGTGAGTTAAAGTTCAATTTAGTTCTTATGGATAGTGATCATGACGAAATCATGATTGTTAGTAAGCAAATATAACTGCAAATTTATACACCATGATACAGCAACTTTAAGTAAAAACACTAATATATGATATTGGCTATAAGTGCTAAAAAACCTGAAATTGCACACGAATCTGAAAATAGGCAGTTGTAGAGTTTATCTAGCTTGCAGGAGAAGAAAGAACCCTAAAGTCTGAGGACAGATCTACAGTCTCATCAATTGTCAACACAACCACAGTTGTGTTATAGTACCTGTGTATCATAAGTACCTGTTCGATCAGTTAAGGTGATGAAACTGATGATTGCCTTGATTGTCTCTTTCAGTTTTTCTACCGCACAACTCAGCTATACTTGAACCCCCTAGGTGAGTCAAACATTTGCTTGAATCAGTAAAACATGAATTTTAAGCGACAATGTGTTTTTTTCGGTTCTAAAACCTAGTTTAATCCAAAATCTACTTCACCTTGAGTTGGTTAATTTCGTGACGTCATCAGTGGCGCTCCCCTCCCTTCTCCCCCCCCCCCCCCCTCCGACCCCCGCCGAAAATGCACCCACCTGTTGGCGCCCCCTCCCTTTTTGGCGCCCCTCCCTAAAATTGAATAAATTAGGTGATTTTAGACTTAGAGGATACGCCAGTAAAATCTCAAAAAAGTGCTCGGCGTTTCTAAAGTGAAACGCGCAGATTTGCTAGTACCTCAGTTAAGTTTTTCAAAATTGTCCCACATTCAAACGACGATTTTCCGATTTTTCAATAAAAAATAATTACAAAATCGGATGAAGAACGATATTTAAATGAGAATTAATCAAAATATTGGAAAGCTTCTGGGCTTTAAAACCTTTTTTGTTCATGTGGTTGCGGATAAATATAATGTTTACTATAATATATCAATACTCGGTGCAAATGTTGCGCCAAGGTTAGCTAACAAAAGATTGGATATGCAGGTCCATTTATTTTGTACATACATTCACAAATATTGAACATAAAGTGAACACTGCAAAAAATGTTTTATGTTTAATCCAACTTCTCATTACAAAAAGGACCATTTTGTGACCGAGAATAATATTACATTTTCCAACATATCTGATCTCCTGTTAGGGCTGGAAGCAGGTAATTAGGGGCCACAACAGGGGCCCTAACCTAGCCTGCAAGCGGGTAATTAACAGTGAACCACAAAATAAGGGCCCATATAAAGAATGTTGTAGATTAGATCCTAGCACGAGTTGAATAACATCAGCGTCCAATCGTTTAATAAAACCCTGAACGGGCGGTGGCCGGTGTGTTTCTATCAATATCATATGTAGTTAATCTGACTAATGAACCACAACAATGAGTACAAGGAGTGTAAAGAATACGAGGAATAACTAGTGTAAACTGTAAATACGATGGTGGAGCCTCTGTGCATTGTGCAAGGTGGTTCGAGGGGACTCAGGTTAAAATAAAGATTAAGCCCCGGGTTGTTTTTAAATCCGATATGAAGGGGTCTGCTTTATTCTCCAGAATAAACAGACTGATCATCGAGAAAATCAGAGCATGATGAGTGTTAACCTCTCTTTTTCAATAGATACCCAGCTTGGATTGAAGAACGGAGCGTGAAACGTGCAACGTGTCAAAGGTGGAATCAAAGTCCCCCAGTTATCATTGTAATTTCCTGGCTTGGTTGATCGAGCTCTTCCACTGAAGCAACGGAACAAGCAATTTATAAATGGATAAGATTCCAAGAAAAGCAATTAAGGGTACTGGTTTTCAGTGGTGAGGCGGGGAATTAATCAGTAGAAACTGATCATAAGAATGATCGGTACTATTCATTTATTCCACTCGTTCCGTCGATAATGGGCCGACTTTTTTTAATAAGTCACAGAAAATACTCATGGTCAAAACCGCAAAATGATTTGATTGATACTGAGCGGATTTTTATTTGACCGCTGGAACATTTCAAGGAGGACATTGAATCAAGATCTGTGATCAACCAGGATAGGGATACTTGTATTACCTACGCAAATACCAACCACTCACCAAACAATATTAAAAATATAACCACAACAATGAAATTATGAGCTTCATTAATTACCTGTCAGAACTAACTCTCCCCTGTCAGCTGCATTGTCACGAGGTACTGTTTTATTCAGATTTGTGAGGTCACTACAGTATGCCTGCGTGACGTACAATGGTCAATGAGGACTTTGTTAGTTGGAGTAGCCTTTTGTCTGTCTGTTTGTCCGTCTGTCCGGTACTTGACAGTTGTTATAGTTACTGGATTGTTTGTTGACATTTCCGTTGTGCCCACCTCGTATCACTTGTCGCTATTTCATGAAGATAGAACTTGCCGTGAACTTGAACGAAGTAGAACGGTTCATACTTTAGGATGCTTCATCAATGTTATAGCTTTATAGGGCTCAAGTATATAACCATTGAACGTATCCGGTAACGCTGACAAACTGATGGATTTCGAATAGTTACCTATTTGGTTACATAAAATTTCGGTTAAAAGCATATATTGGTTCTTTGTTAAATTCCTTGTCTGATGGTTTTACAATATACCCTCCGGCCCATTCTCCTAGATCCCTCTTGATCAGCACTATTAGTATTGATCACTATTGGTGTTTGTTGCGTTAATGTTGTCTTAATGTTGTCTTAATGTTGTCTTATTGTTGTCTTATTGTTGTCTTAATGTTGTCTTATTGTTGTCTTAATGTTGTCTTGTTGTTGCAACGGTGTTCGTTCTAGTTGCCAATTATTCTATCAGAGAGGAATTGAAACATGCTTGTCTTACACTATCCCTGAACTTGCACACGTCCCATTCCTAGGCTTATTCTAACTTTCACTCCAGAGCTAATGATTATTGAACAATAGCGTTAATAAGTTAAACGGACAATTAAGGAATATTTTAGAGTAAAGATTGAGTAACGCTCATACATAAACAAAGGGTCTTCGAAATTTCAAGAAAAATTGCATAAAACAAAAATAAATATACTCAATTTTCAATAATACTTAGGCTATATATAATCCGACCATCAAGCAAATAACGCAAATTGTAGTAGCATCATGATAAAGTACCTAAGCACCACAAGCCAGGGATGCTTTAATAGCAGCAATAGACCTGAAATTACACGTGGTCTGCAGCGTCGCACACTATAACAGTATAACATCACGCCGACGATCAGATCCTATAGCAAGAAATATCTCATTAACTCAATAGTCAATACTCAATACAGTTATGCATCCAATTTCATATGTTTATAGTTAAAACATAGTTCCTGTGATGAAACCTAATACCCATTAATCAAACAATTTATTTGTCCCTGACTTTGCATATTTGTCCAGCTACAGCAGTACCCTCGCGCTCCAAGCCTCTTCTAAAGGGGGTAGAGACAGATTGGTAAGAGCGATCAGGAAGTTTCCTCCTGCCCTCAGCTGTACTACTTTTCCCAAACGAATCAACATTGTAGCTGTGGTACCTCTCCTGGAGAGACGAATGCAGCAACCTCGCGTTTTGTGCCGTCCTAAATCGACTGAGATGGAAGTATTTGCATACAATTAAACTGATTTGGCAAGAAATCATGCCAAGTACTCATGCTACAAATTTTAAAGGGCTTGATACAATTTTTGCTGGTTAACATATCAAATCAGAAATGTGGAGAATTTTCAGAAACATGGTGGACCGTTTATATTCTCATGACAGTTTATAAATTCGAACCATTTACGCTCTAATGAACCGTCAACCGTTTACAATAAATGACCCGTTTATACTATTAGTTTACTGATTTAGAGAAATAGTGATTTCAATGATACCGAGTAAAATATATCTAAATAATTTGAAGAATTTCCAAAATACATGGGCATCAAATTGCATTTTGCAAACATATTAATATGTTAATTAACATAATGGATGAAAAGATTGAAGTTGAAACAGAGTTACGAGATTCAGCGCGTTCCGAACCTTACGAGCAGTTTGTCCCTGAGCTCAATGTGGTTGAATCTTCTCAGATCCTTCATGTCCCGATCAATCATCTTCAAGGGAACTTGCGGATCAAAAGAAATCTTTGGTAAGAACGCACCACGGGGTAGTTTCTTGAACTTCTTTATGTTAAGCTCTTCGTTGTCATCATCCTGTTGGTTCAGGGTTCAGTTAATAAATAACCCCCATTCTTCCAAATAAATTACAATGAAGTTAAATATATAGTATATATACACTATACAGTGAGTCAAAGGTAACTGCTTATCAGCTTTTGGTAAATAGTAAGAAAAACATATTCAACCAAACCTGTACAAGTCTCAACAAACTACACTTGAGAAGTCTAATATCTTCTGTAGATCTGATAACGTAATCCTGCTCCTCAGCAGCATCCGGCAGCATCAGAATATTTTTCTGAACAGCCTTCCTCTCCCTCTTGTAATTCTGTATCGAATCTTCCAGAAGTTCTTTTTCTTTTTGGAGACTGTGCGATTTTATCTATACAAAAAGGAAAAGTTGTAAAACACCACGGATACCACACAGTAATAGCTAAGTAACTCCGTAGTAACACTAACACCATGGTAACACCATGGTTACACCATGGTTACACCATGGTAACACTCTGCAGTAGAGGCAATGATCATTAAGATTGCTTTGCAGTAGGATTATGAGCACTGTGGACCGTGAGGGCCAGTTTAATTGTCCATTGTTCTGCTGCTCCTGTATAGCTACTGCTAGATTGTTGTATAATGTACATACTATTTCACTCCATGGTATGCAGATTGTTGTATAATAGACCTTATTACAATACATCTATATTCTTATATTGTGTGTTTTGTTACCGTACAGTACGTGTTTAGTGTTAACCTTTCTCTCGTTGTCCAGGACTCGGCACTGACAGTCCAGCTGATTCATTACCCGCATGTTCTTCTGTCTCACCCTCTTCATGGTTCGGTAGCTTTGTTCTTGCATTCGTCTCCTCGCTTTCAAACGCTCTCCAAAGGACGACATAACCACAAATACAACACTGGAAAAGAACACTCAATATCGGTAAACAATTATATTTGAGGCAGAATAACAATAAACCAAGCAGAATAACAAACTAAGACCCTAGCTAGACGGCCGACATATCAAAGAACCAAGCTGCGGTTAACCGTGGCTATCTGGTAGCCATGGCAGTTTGACAACGTGAAGTGATCTTTCTAAAAGACCAAGTTAAAGTGTGATAACTTGTGCAGGTATGTTGTGTAAGATTGAGACCCCCCACTCCGCTGATTAGCTGCAACAACAAGTAACTTCTACTCTCCTTCTGTCAGTGTGGGCTTTGTCAGGACATGGAAAAACAGCCGGACTTTATGACTTGACGTAGATGATGCGTCAATATATTGTAAAGATGGGAATATGTAAGTGGAGTAATTGAATATTGTAAAGATTGAGCTCAATCTTTACAATATTCAATTACTCGACCACTAGGCTGGCTCATGTTGAGGATCCTTGAGTAAGGGATTGTAAAGGCTATGAATGGTATGGTCAAAAGATCCTGAGTTTATCAACTGGAGCAGATCTATATACCATCGTATAAGTTGGTTACTGATTAGGTGACGAAATCACTGATTAGGTGTCGTGATCAAGTATCCACCAGATCTTAAAATGATTATAACTCGGCTTCATTGAAAACAATCAACTTGAAATTTTGGGAAATCACTTGAATTATCAAACCAAATGTGTCTATAAACTTTGGAGTTCCCAGCTCAAAGCGTTCTCACTTTGTGGCGACAATAGTGAAAAAGAGGGAATGGCGTGCCACACCCTTTGTAAGTGTAACCAATGAAATTTTGCGAAACTTTCAGAAATTCTAAGTTTGACCCATATCTAGATTCTCTGAAAATTTGTGAAATTCTGACACGAATAAAGTGAATTATTAAAGGGTTGCGTGTGGGTAGTTACTTTTGGGCCACCCTGTAATCTGTATATTATAATACAAGAATACAAGAATACAAGAATACAAGAATACAAGAATCATTAACATGTTATTATATACCCGCAGTTATACCATAGTATTATATACTTATATACCCACAGCTGGGTACTATACTCCGGGAACCACATCTGTGTAACCCCGGGTACTACACCCAGGGAACTGTTCATTATGGTATATCAACTTATTTCTCATTGTGAACATATTTTATTTCCTTTAAAACTTTAAAACTTGAATACACGGATAACTGGATAAGTTCTATGAGGTTTTATGTAACAGATAATTATTAATCTTACTTGATGTTTGTAATTTTAAGTGGTCACTGTTGCACCTAATTCTTATTTCATCGTTCAGTAACTTATTCTATCGACCCTTTTTTCAAGGCCCTCACTTTAGAGCTTTAGATTCATAGTGACCTGCAACAAAGGAACCGTACGAAAAAAGCTCAGTTCAGAAATCAAGCTCCACTATATTCATGATGTGCGCTTTAGGGTTTCTTTGGACAAGACTAAGGGGGACTAAGAGAAACGAGCACGTTATGAAACTGATTTAAACTATTGTAGCATATTTAACAGTAAGGAAAATGGGAGCTAGCTGTTGAACTTCTTTGAAGTGACAAAGCTCTCTCAAAATAATACGAGGCTGTGCTGATTAGAGCTGCTTGATTCAGCTTAAATAAACACGTCCAATTATCGCGCTTATCTCAGTAATCATTCCTCCGACATCAATCTCGGGCATCCGGTATTAACCTCGGGCTTTCCGGTACTAACCTCGGGGATTCCAGTCTCAACAATAATTCGATATTCATGCATACAATATCATTGTCTCCGCGTCTGCGGCTTTCAATCAACTTTCAAATCATCAAACAACTAGCTCCTAAAAACCTGGCTTTGGCCGTAATCATTCGTAAATCATTTGTCAATTATTCGGTATCGTACAGTGTCATGCTGTTCAATAAATGATTCCGCTTATTTGATCAAAGTTTGAATCACTCGGGTTCTCTCAAAGAATTTAACACTATTTCAAGATTTAAGATTAAAAGGGATTTTATCATTTTATTGTCCTAGATTCAAATTCTTGTCCTAAAATCAGGAGATGGAATCAGGTACTGTGAAGAAATCAGTCTGGAATCAGTTGGCACAGCTCCACATTCAACTTTACAACTTTTACGTGAATTCTACAAAAACTAAAATTATTAAGAAACTAAAATTCAAATTCAAAATACACATGCGAACTGGATCTCTACAACACTTCCCCGTAGAAAAGCTTAAAAATAAATCCCTCTCTGCAGTCTTTGAAAAACTGGGAAATAAAAGTGGGACCAGTATAAAATCTTAGGGCATCATATGACAAGATTGTAAAATTCTATATATTCAAAGTCGGAACTGTGCAATTATCGGTTCAACTGTCGATCATTGTTTGGGCTGCATTAGGCAGTAAATTCAAGTCTTTAAAAATTACTGTTCAGTTCACTTGCACTGGAGCTTCATTTGCAATAGAGTTTTTTGTGTCTTGATACAGTGTTCCAAATCACGACATGCCGGGACCACCAGAGAAGGGGAAGAGCAGGAAAAGTAGAAGAAGTACCAACAGTGATAAAGAAGAGATTGATGAGCGTGGCCGGCCAATGGCTCGTGTCGAGCCTCTGGAACCTGCCGAGGGGAGTAGTGTGTTCACTGCAATGTTATTTTGTTAGTTTGATAGATTGTTGATTGTTGATTGTTACATTGTAGCCGTTTGAGGAGTTTCTTTTGCATTATGTTGCAGGTATTCAAGGTAACCGAGGTCGAAAGACTTCGCAGACTGATCAGTGAGCGACTACAGTGAGCGACTACAGTAACAGAGAAGTGAAGACCCTCAAGCATTTACTACAGGCTCAACAATTTATAGGGTAGTAATTCCTCATTGGAGAGCCACTACTTGAAGGTTCCGTCCAATCTGGTCGAGTCTTTGTTAGTCTTTAGTAGGAGAATCTTTGTCATTATCTTTAAGATCTTTGATGCTTCGGGAGATAACTTACATCTTTTCAGGTCGAAGAAATTACGGGTGAGGTACTGGACATTATCCTTGCTTTCTAACCAGCTCTTCACTTATCAAGTTCATACTAGCGCCAGTGTCTACGAGGGTGTTTACAGTGGTGCCAAACAAATTTGAGTCCAAGTAAACGTGGCCTTCACAGAAATTGACCTGTGAAGATGGAGAGACAGAATCTGAAGCGGTGTTCTCCCTCCCTCCAGGGGAGTGGTGACCTAGTTTTGTGGTACCTCAGATGTATTATTGAAAGGAACCGAGTAGTTTGCTTGAGGTCGAGAGTTCAGCAGGTCAGGGTTCTGTATACCCACAGGACTGCTGTTTGGAGTATAATGCTGATTACTTGCAGTGTTCTGGTACGGCTGGTGCACTGGATGGCTGGCTGTTGGTGCTGCTGCAGGTGCGTTTGTAGTGGTGAAGCTTCTGTCATTGTAACCGTTATCGTAGCCAGGCTGGTAAGCTGGGCTTTGATAAGGTTCTTGAGGTCTAACATCTTCTTGGTTTCTGTTAGGTCCAAGGTAGCTGGGTCCTTGTTCCGAGAAATGACCAGGTCTGCTGTTGCCAGGTCTACCATATCTTGGCGATGTGAAGATAGGTCGTCCTATCTGTCCATTCAATCCACTAGCGCTCCAACTTCCCTCGTCTCTCATTTTTTTACGACAATCTCTTTGAAAGTGGCCATAGTTTCCACAATAGTGACACTGGACGCTGTTGTTTCGTCTTTGGTTTTGGACCACTGAGTAGTTAGGACAACCATTAGCGTAGTGACCATACTGATAGCACTTGTGGCACTGTACTTGGCCTCTTAAGTTGCCCGCATAAGGTTGGTGGTCATATCTGGGATCAGCAGGTTGGCCAGGACTGTGAGAAGACAGCTGATTAATGAATTGCTGGGGATGATAATTTGAGCCTTGTTCAATACCATAGACTTGGTTTTGCTGCACTGTTCTACTTTCTGTTCCATTGCAGCACTCGTATTGGCCGACGGTATAGTGAGGTAGGCCCAATGGATAATGATTGTGAGGTCTGTTAGCCTGTTCTGCTTCGCCTATGGCTAGTGAGTCATGCCTGTCAATGCTAACTTCGTTTTTAAGAACTGTAACGTGGACATTATCCTCATCACGTAGCGAAGACCTGGCCCTATAAGCTCCGTCCAACTTGACGGCTTTTTCGAGAGCTCTTTTAAAATCTAACTCAGGTTCATTGATCAAGGCAACAGCGATTTCATCTCTGTACAATCCTCCAGTCAGGGCATCTTTTAAAATGGAGTGCATAGCGTCTTGTTCATCAGCATTGTAACCTAATTTAGCCAGGTCCATAAGTCTTTCTCCAAACAGAGACACTGTTTCATCAAGTTGTTGTTTAGCTTTTTTCAGTTCGTATCTTGCTTTGACCGCTTCACTGGGGGAGGTCAAGGCTGTAATCGCCTCTCTACGAAATTCTGCCCAGTCGTCCTTCCTAACTAGGTCATTGGTAATCAAGGCATTTAGTGACTTTTGGTCGAGATAAGTCAGGAAAGTATTAATTGCCTCAGCACCTACAAGGTTCATTATCATTCGAAAAGGTTCAAAGCTATCGAAATACGAAGTAATGTGAGAAGTGGTCGGGTCAAACGAGTTAGGCCGGCGACTTCCAGCAACTCCAGCTCTGAAGTCAACTTTGGCTTGGTTAGTAGCTTGCACAGCAGCCTCCCTTTGTGCTTGCATAATAAGGTTCTCCACGGCAGTTTTCTTTTCAGTACTCAACTCAAGAGCGTCAATGGAAGCCATTTTTAATCGATCAAATTCTTATCTACTTCGGGATCAGGAGTCTTTAGAACTTCAGTGCCCGGGTTCTCCACCAATTGTGCGCTTTAGGGTTTCTTTGGACAAGACTAAGGGGGACTAAGAGAAACGAGCACGTTATGAAACTGATTTAAACTATTGTAGCATATTTAACAGTAAGGAAAATGGGAGCTAGCTGTTGAACTTCTTTGAAGTGACAAAGCTCTCTCAAAATAATACGAGGCTGTGCTGATTAGAGCTGCTTGATTCAGCTTAAATAAACACGTCCAATTATCGCGCTTATCTCAGTAATCATTCCTCCGACATCAATCTCGGGCATCCGGTATTAACCTCGGGCTTTCCGGTACTAACCTCGGGGATTCCAGTCTCAA